TATGCCTTCCTTTGGAATAATCTTCCGCCTGAAATTAGATTATCGCCTAGGTTACTGATATTCAAGTCGAAATTGCGCAAACATCTTACACCGGAAAGCATAAAGGCACTGTTAACGGTCTCATTTCCGAACACTCAGATTCTTGACTTTGAGAAGGGTTCTCCTGGGATTTAGTGGTATATTAAGTGGTAACTCTTAATTATATCATTAGAAACCCCTGTTTTGCCTTGGTTTCTAAATCTACTGCTATCACTCCTCCTTAATGGACTTCTAATTCAGAAACTATGAATTGCATTTTGTAAAGATTCGGCCTACCTCGTCTAAAACTCGCATGTAAATTTATTTTAACTTGCTTTAATGGGACCCCGACGGGTCTTTAATAAAAATTATCTATCTATCTACTCTTCAGTTTTTGCAATCTGTCTACATAAACGAGCAAGTTTCCCTCCTTAGTCTACACAAAAACTGCCGACCCCAAACATAAGTGATATTCTTTTCTCTGAAGGCATTTTCCGTACAATATTAGAAGCATGGAATAAATCGAAGTCGCCTGGATCAGAGGAGATTCCACCCAAGCTTCTCAAGGAACTTGCAAGTGAGCTTTCTGTGCTCTCGCCGATGCTCTTTCAAACTTTATTTGACACTGGAGCACTGCCTATCGCTTGGAAGCTGGCGCATATTACTGTGCTATTCAAAGAAGTTTGCAGATTATCGACGACAAATTGTAATTACAATAATAATAATAGTAATATTTTTTATCCAAGACCCGTGGTGGTCCGTTCATGGCAAGTAAACATATATTTTACATTAAATTTAGAATTTTAGATGAGGAATACAGAAGTTATACAATACTTAATTCATAGTTATTGAATAAGCAGTATGATTCGAATAATGTTGAGCGAGCAGTAAAAAAACTCCTAGCATAAACAAAATGAGTATGTCTGAATTAGCACAATAGGAGAAAAAACTCTCGCTCCCTAATATATAAAAAGCAGGCAGTACCGGCCTGTTAATGGCATTGTATAACCGATTTCATGAAGGGGTAATTAGGCGGGTCAGACAGGACTGGTCGGTATGTGGTACTGAGTAAATGGTTCGAAACGGGCATCGTCAAGGCAGAGTTCATACGTCAAATGAGGCCATTCGTGTCAAAGTGGCGAATAGGAAACCAGTCTCGAGGCGATAGGAACCCAGACGCAATCGGTTACATTTAGCCGAGTCCAGCCGAGGGGGGGGGGTCAAGGGAGATACGATCAGACTACTAGTTTATGGCAAATACAGAAGGTTCTGCCAAGAGCGTCGATAGAGAGCATTCTGTGATTTCACGATGACTGAACTGAAAAATCGAAAGATTAACTTTTCCGATGCCGCCCGGACGTTCGCAGATACTGTTTTTCACAGCGAGTCGTCGGTTCCTGGAACGGGATTACCGAGGACGTAATAATGGCGGATACCACGGAGACGTTCAAGAAAAGAGTAGATGTATATTTTCTTGGACAATACCGATTGTCTGGGCAGAACAGCTCTGTGGTACCAAACCAACGCCTTGCATACACCTACCGCTAATGCAGATGACTGTCATTTCATTGTACCGATATCATCTACAACTGAATATTCTTGAGTTTCAGTCCTGCATCTTCAATTAAAAACATTTTCTTAAATGTATATATTACTGACAACTTTTAAGTATCGTTTTTATTTAAAGTTAGATATTGCATGTACCATTTACAATTGGGTTTTCAAAGGCATTGCCTATTTCCCCTAAAATATACTCATCTATACTGACCTTGTACGTCTGGGTCAAACTTAACAACCACACTTCTTTGTTGTGTCGTCTTTGCACGACTGATCATGCGTTGAGAGAAACAATACTGAGCATATTCCTAAAATGTTTGTTCCGTTCATTGCTACTTATAAAAAAGGGCGAGCTGGTCGTGGAAAATCAAGCTGTTGGGAGGAAGCAATTGATGGAAGACAAAGTTGCTGTGGTCTAACATTTGAGGGGTAATTACCACTAACTATAGATGCAGCATTGATGAGGCCCCGACGGGTCTTTAATGAAAAATTATCATTATCATTGCATGGAAAAATATTTGAGGAGTGCCCCGAGAGAGGAAAGCTATTTTGTTGGGTTGGAAGAATAGGAGGCATGAGAATAGGATTTTGTGGATTGTTCGCAATATATGAGGGGTAGTGGACGTTATGGTTTCGAGAAACAGTTTACAGCAGGAAAGGACTTTATTATTTGGGGTGTCAGGCTATCAATGTGATTGGAAAAATTACCAGCAGCGCTATATAGTTACATTTTGCAGGTTGGTGTGCAAGTTGGATTCACAACAGAGTTGTCTACGTTAAGTTGAGATTTCGGGATAGAAACATGTAAAGATCATGCTGAACTATCATCTGGCCTATTTGACCTAACCGCAAGGTCAGACCTGAGGGGCCAGGCGCGGGAATGGGATGGATTCGATCTATGTTTACAAACTAGTTTATTATTCGGAGTGCTAAGGGTCGGTTGTGGTTCTATGATTGGCTCATCTTTACTGTTAAGATGAAGCTCCCTCGTAAATTTGGGAGCCGCATTTGAGCAATCCTTGCTTGTTGGGTGCGTTTTGACGAGGCTGGTTTCAACTGACTAA